AAAAAAAAAAAAAAAAAAAAAAAAAAAAAAAAAGAAAGAAAAAAGAAAAAAAATCAACTGCTATAACAAAATGGACATTTCAAAGTCACCCAGAAACATGTGAGCTAATCTAAATTGACAATAAATATTTAATTGTGTAATTATAAAGAAAATATTTTCATGATCTATTTTTGTTGGTGGTGGTGATGTTTGTTTTTTGAGACAGGGTCTCACTATGTTTGCAGGCCTGGCTTGAGCCTTTTGAATTCTCCAGATTCCTCTGTGCTGGGATTACAGGCATGTACCATCAGACTCTGCTTCATAATCTATATTTAACTTTGAATTTAAAACAGACTACTAAGTGTTGTTTGGGTTGTTCTTTAATAGTTGCTCTTAAGACCTGGTATTTTGGTTTATTAATCAAATCTTAAAAAGAAAAACTGATTGTGTTATTCTCAAGTGCTTGGTAAGCTTGGTTTTGGTAATGAAGACCTTGGTGCAATGATGATGTGGTAATCTCACATGCAGAAGTGGAAGCCAGCCAGTGACAAAGAGCTTGCCAGGTTCCCAAGAGCACACGGAAATCTAGACAACTCGGGAAGCAGTTGGTGCAGATTGTCTTTGATAACTGGTAACCTGGGCCACGAAGAATTTCTGGGTTGGAAGCCGAAACTTGAAAAATGCCCCAAAGCTAATACCCTTCAGGATGATAGAGATGGAAGGAAGGGAGAAAGGAAAAAACGAGAGAAACCCTACTACTTTAGGCATGCAAGAAATGGATTTGTGAGAGAGTAGGGAGGATGTTAGAGAAATAGGAACACAAGAGAAACAGAGAAGTAGGCAGATGAGGTAGAAAAGCTCTGTAATTGTGTATTGTAGAATTAAAAGATGGATTTGGTGGTGTGCACCTTGTCATGTCAGCTATTCTGCAGGCCAAGGCAGGAGGATCCCTTGAGCCTAGGAATTCAAGGTCAGCCTAAGTCTACATTTAATATTTTTCTTTCAGGGAAGAATTATGAACAAAAGAAGAATATGATGGTGAATATAAGTTGTATTTAGATGTGGAAAGAGAAAATTAAGTTTAAAAAGACTCCCCGCCAGATTCAGAGACTCATGTATATCTATGTGCACTAATTAGATACAGAAATGATAATTAGGTGATAGTACATTATTTGCTATTAAAAGTCCACAAAACCCATAAGAGATGCAGAATAGGAAAAGCAATCCTGGGAAACAAGAGCGAAGCAGGAGGCATCACATTCCCAGATTTGAAGTTACATTAAAAAGCTTCAGTGAAAAACAGCATGGTGCTAATACAAAAACAGACGTGGGTCAGCGGAACAGAACAGAGGAAGCAGGAGAAAAAAAAGAAAACAAGCATATTTAGCTACCTGATCTTTGACAGAAGGACCAAAAACATACACTGGAGGAAAGATGGCCTCTTAAATAAATGGTGCTTGGAAAACTGGCTTTCCACATGCAGAAGACTGCATTTAGAACCATATCTTTCACTGTGTACTCAACTAAAATCAAAGTGGATCAAAGATCTAAACATTAAAACAGAAACACTTAATCTGCTGGAAGATGAAATAGGTAAAACTTTTAAAGACATAGGCATTCATAAGGACTTTCTGAACAGAACCCCAGTTGCAAAGGAATATTACCAAAAATCAATGGATGGGAGCATAAAAAACTAAAAACCTTTTGTACAGCAAAGAAACAACCAACAGAGGGAAGGGACTACCTGTAGAATGTTAAAAACTTTTCCAGCTATTCCTCAGAGGATTAATATCTAGAATATATATAAAGAACTCAAACAAATTAGACTCCTCCAAAATAAAAACCCAATAAAAAAATGGGCAACTGAAATGAATAGGCACTTCTCAGAAGTAGTAATATAAATGGCCAATAGATACATGAAAAGCTGTTCAACATTGCTGGCCCTTAGAGAAATGCAACTAAAAACAACACTGAGATTCCATCTTATCCCAGAAAGAATGGCTATCATTAAGAAATCAAATAAAAACAAATGATGGTGAGGTAAGGGTGAAGGCTTTCTACATTGCTGGTAGGAATGTAAACTAGTATAACAGTATGGAAATAAGTATGCAGAATCCTCAAAAAACTAAAAATAGAAATTCCATTCAACCCAGCTTCTCCCTTTGTAGGTATCTTCCTGAAAGAGTTAAAGACATCATATTACATGCTTATAGCACGTATCATATTTATAAGAGCACAATTCATAATAGATAAACCTTGCAAGCAGTCTATGTGTCCATTAGCAAATGAATAGATTACGAAAATGTGGTATTTATACACAATGGAGTACTACAGTGCCATAAAGAAGGATAAACTTTAGTCATTTGTAGGAAAACGGATGGACTATTTGAAACCACAATGTTAAGTGAAATCAGACACACGAGCTCAACTATCACATGGTTTTTCTTCCATGAGAAACTCAAAACATAAAGCACAAAATAAAAGACAGTAAGAAGTAAGGAGATCTCTTTCAAATGGGAAGAGAGTAAAGAGATGGAGGGAGTGGGGAGGGAGGAGAGAGGAAAGGAATGAAAAAGAAGTAAGACGTGTCATGTACATAACCAACTCCCTACAAAGACTGTAATCACTGTGTAATGTAAACATTACTAAGAAAAAAACTGAAAAAAATCTATGCGTACAAAGCTGCATTGTTTCAACAATATGAAGCCATAAAGCAACATTCAAACACTGCTCCCTTGACAATGGAAGGAAGTATGAATTTCACAAATCCCAGAACTTTAAGAAGTCAAGATAAAAGAGAAATATTTTTGTTTATTTTTTCTGAGACAGAGGCTCAGTATACACTTCAGGCTGGCCTTGAACTCATTGTGTAGTTCAAGCTGGTCTCGAATTTGGCAACCTTCTTGCCTCAGCCTTCCAAGTGCTGGCATGACAGGCATGTGCCACCATGCCCACCAAGATAAATACTTTTAAACAGTTGAAACTGCATTTTTAAAAATTCACAATTCAATTCAGGCTTGGTGGCACATGGCTTTTATCCTAGCACTCAGGAGGCAAGAGAATGGCAAAAAATGTGAAGCCAAAGTGAAGTACATAGTGAATTCAAGGTCAACCTGGATGACACAGGGAGACCTTGTCTCAAAAAACAAAATCACAACTCAGGGTTAAACTAACAGATCAATTTTACATGGAAAAAGCCGGGAGTGGTGGCACATGCCTGTAATCCCAGCACTCGGGAGGATGAGGCAGGAGGATTGCTATGAGTTCGAGACCAGCCTGGGCTACATAGTAAGTTTCAACTACATAGTGAAACCCTGTCTCAAAAAACCAAAAAAAAAAAAAAAAAAATTTTTTTTTTTTACATGGAAAAATCAAATGTGATAGGTGTACCCTTAATCACCCCTTTGCCACATCAGGGAACCCATTCATAGGTCCCTGGTGTTAAGGACATCTTTAAGGAACCATCATTCTGCCTCCTATACATGGGAAGGTAACATGGAAGCTTAGCAATCAGTGTGCTTTCCTGGCCACTTCCCCTGCCATCACCGTGTAGCTGAAAGTGTGCAAATGCCTAGACCAACAAGCCATGTGAACTGGCATTTGCACCCATGTGCACAGTGGAGTGAGCTGTGTTTGTTTGAAAGATGTTTGTTTTCACGTGTGTGCTGGATACTGAACCCGGGGCCTCACACATGCTAAACGTGTGGTACCACCATGCATTGTGAAAACACTATGCTGTGAAACAGGCCCACGTGGAAACCAATGCTAGAGCCACCTGCTCGGTTGCCACTGCAGCTTAACTCTTGAGGTGACTGTCCAGAAGCCCAACTCCAGGGTACAAGCTGGAGTCTCAGGTCCTTACACCCTAGGTCATCTATCCCTGTGGTTTGGATGTACTCTCCCAACAGTTCACACGCTGAAGCTTCACTCCTAAATTCATAGTATCTGGAGGCGGGGCCTTTCAGGGACAATTAGGGCTAGGTGGGGTCCCCATGATGTGATGAGTGGCTTCATAACAAGAGGGAGCTGAGCTCCATGGTTCTCTCCTTCCCACAGGACATGCACACTATCTTATGATGCAACTAAAAGGGCCTCACCAGACACTGGTGAGCGCATTCTCTCTCTCTCACTCTCTCCCTCTCTCTCTCTCTCTCTCTCTCTCTCTCTCACACACACACACACACACACACACACACACACACACAGACACACACACACACGTTTATTTTTTCTGGTACTGGAGATCGCCTTGCACTGAGCTACATCCTCAGCCTCTTTTTATTTTTTCATAAGACAGAGTTTTGCTAAATCAGTGGTCACCCAGGCTGGGTTTGAACTTTGACCTCAGCCTCCCAGAGTGGCGGGGTTACAGGATATATGCTGGCACTGGCACCCTGATCTTAAACTTCCTAGCTTCCAGAATTGTGAAAAATAGTTCTTTTCTTTATAAATTATCTAGTTTCAGCTTTTCTGTTGTAGAGACACAAAATGGAATAAAACACCTATCCATCCACTGTTAGCTGTTAGCCAACACCAGCGTTTCCCACTTTCCCTTCAGAAGGCCTAGGGATGTGCCTGGAGCCTCCTTCCACTGTCCTCTCTAAGCTCTTGGGTTCCCAGGTGGCTCCCACATAATTCAGCTGCCTGCACCTGGCCTGGTGAAGCTGGAGGGAATGGCTGGCCCCTCCCTGGAACAGCTCTGCCTAGTAAAGGAGACAGACAGGAGCCAGCACTTCTGCACTCACTGAGTGTAGTTGAGGGGCACACACAGGTAAGTGAGGATGTCCCAGGCCTAAGAGCTAAGCCAACCACCCTCGGAACAAAGGGATTGGACAAAGCATATATGGGTGGTACAGCTGAAATTATGAAGCCTTTCAGGTGTTGCTGTGTCTCCTTTCCCTCTACCTGCCTGCTGGCTCCTGCCCAACCATCTGGGATAAGGCATAAGCAAGCCAGCTGAGTGGGCGTTGATATTCACACACATGCACTACCCTGCGGGCCTCTGCTGGGCCAGCACCTGCCCTGAGGCCCTACTCAGAGTCCTCTCTTTGGGATGCTCTTCTGAGGTTCCTTGAAGAAGTGGTAAAATGAGTGAAAGAGGGAAGGAGGGAAGGAAGACAAGGTCTTATCTCATGGCTGCCACCGGCTGTGGTGTAGGGATTATTTAGTCTTAGTTCCATTCACTCAGAGCAAGTCTTGAAATGTAGCAGCTGCTCAATAAATGTGGTAACAATGGAATCACTTTCTATAAGACCAATCAGGCAAGTGGCATGAATTCCTGGTTATGTTGGGTGGCTAGGAATGCTGTACATGTATTGTGTTTCTATTTGTTTTCTGTATTGTTTTAATCCTTAGTAATTTATCCACTCTTTTTTTTTGAAAGCTCATATTTATCAGATCTTAAAACACACATCGGGGCATGGCGGTACACACCTGTAATCCCAGCACCGTGGGAAGCTCAGAGAGGAGGATCTCATGTTCAAGCCCAGCTTGGGCTAAACTGCAACTTACTGAAACAAATTCAAAATTTAAAAAATAAAAAGGACTGGGAATGTAGCTCAGTGCAAAGGTTCTAGGTTCTAATCTCAGTACCATCCAAACAAAAGCAAACAAATGGTAACAAAAAGCAAAAACAAAGAACAAATAAAAATCACCTCCCCATCCTACCACCTCCTCCAGGAAGCCTTCCTTAATGTGGGTGGTAAGTGTATGACACCTGGTCTGGGAGACAGCTGAGTGTCTGAGGAAAGACCCCAGCACTGGAGCCAGCATCTCTGACCAGCTGTGACATCTTGACCACGTTTTTTAAAACTTTTCAGAGCCAAGGTTTTCTGGTTTTTAAAGTAGAAATTTGTTGTGCTCACTTCGGCAGCATATATGCTACAGTAGGAATTTTTAACTGCTGCTCACCATCATGAGGATCAAATAAGATGTGTGTAAAACCCCTGGTGGAGGTTAGGTGTCTGTTGAATGAATAAATAAACCTTTCATCCAAAAATTTGGGAGATCTGGAGCTTATCAAATAGCAACAGAGTGAAAAGAACATTTTTTAGAAGGATGCATAAAGTCAGTACCCTTTCCATGCATTTTCAGTCTCCTGAATCAAATTAACTTCAAACTTGAGGGGGAAGTGAATTTCTACAGAAGGTAATGTCCTCATGTGCTACCAATTACTGTCCATAGCTATGCATTCTTGGGATTGTGAAGAGAACATCTTAAAAATGCAGTTTTGATGCTTTTAAAGTAAGACATAGTTGTGACAAACATCCTGTAGCTCTTTAATACATTTTTTAAAAAATTAAACTATTAAGCTATATTAATTTCTACATACTGTATATGCCAAAAAAGACTAAAAGAATCTGGGGACTTTGAATGGAATTTCCCTAACCTTAGGAAGGAACACCACGAGTTGAACATCATAACTGCCAGCTGTGGAATTAATTCTAAGCCATTTTAAGGCCTGACAAGTATTTTGCTTGGCAAGAGTTGAGCAATGCGTTATGGAGGATCTCTGAAACTCGGGGTTCTCATTTGGGGGTAATCCTAGTTTTCCTTTAATGCTATTATGTAGAGAAGAGACATGGAATTTACAGGTTAAACTGGAAATACACAAATGACTGCTCTTGTTCAGAGCCCGTGGTATTTGGTCACTACCTCACCATTTTTTTGTGTGGTTTGTTTTTACATTCATCATATACTTATATGAGCTAATTATGCTTTAAGAAAAGATCTGCACACACGCACATGCACAAACATGCACTCCATGCCCTCACTCTCAGCTGCAAAGAGCGGGAGCAGGCCTTCCACAGGGACCTGTGTGAGCCAGCACCCTGCCTTGTCACTCACATGCCCACAGAATGTTCTGCTGAAACTCTCAGAATGCCCAGAATGGGAGTCTGCGAGTGAAGTTTGATGTCAGATGACTTCAATTCCTTCCTTGAGAGAAGTGCTTCCTCACTCCATGGGGAAATGATCAAAGGAATTTCCTCTTTCACTTCCAGGAAATAGTTCTCTCATCTAAAGGGCATGATAGCAAGTGCCAAGTGGGCTGAGCAGGGACATATGCCAAGACAGGGGGCTCAGCCCCTTACTCCCTGGCAGCACTCGACATGGTGAATTCGCAATGAAGTCATTACACACAAGTTCTTCAAAAAAGCACAACTGGCACAGCACTGGCACATGCGGCTTTCATTTGTTTGACAAACAAGCTCTTGCCTGTTCAGCTGAAAATGAATTTCAAACTTGAACTCCATTCATAACTCCACAGCTAAACAGTAACCATAAATGTGGGCCCTGCATGGGCATAAGAAAGCCATTTGGCGGAACTTCTCCTAGCCCGTTTTTCACATGGCTGCTGTCTTCTTCACAATGCCCATGATCCCAGAATAGCGTGGTACTTGGTTTGTGTAGGTGTGCTGTTTAGTCAGATTGCATAGGACTGGTGCCAGCCAGCGGCATCTATTGAGCAATTTTGTGTAGAGGGTTTGTGACGAGAAGGAACAGAACAGGATAAAGAGGGAGCTCCACACAGAAGAGAAATAATGACAGATGCTTTTTATAGAGCAAGCTAATAAGAAGCTCCAAGTAACATACCAACCAGGGCTTAAGAGCTCAGAGGGTACCACACAGAAATCCAGGGCTCAGCTGGACTCTGAAGTGCAAACAGGGACTGCTGCAGAGAAAACAATCAGGGAACACAGGTTTCACGACAGGGGCATCTCTAGGGGGCACTCCGTGGGCTTGAACATGAGGCTACAGGCTGGAAATGTGGTTTTAAAATAGCACCCCCAAATTAGGATCAGAGACCTATAATTTTACCCCAAAAATCTAGAAGGCAGAACTAAACCTTTTTTCCTATTGTATTCTCAAAAACACTATCTGCTTCTGTTGAATGATTATTTGTCACGAAAAAAAAATCATGCTGTATGACTTTCTGCATAGTCAAATGATGTGTGGTTTGAAGACAACACAAACTTGTGCTTGATGAAGATTAAAAAAAAGGTATAAACAAGTAAAAAACTTAGTTTTTAAACCTGAGTTTAACTTATGCTTGATTTCACTGGCTGTTTCTGGTGGTAGTGCTGATACTGAGTGTTAAATGGATTGAATTTAAATTCCTCAGCAACCAAACTATACCATCAGTCAATATTAAGTAACACTGTGCTATGTCATAGGTTTTGTGCAAGTGACATCTACATTGTGGCTTCCAGAGCACAGGCTTGGGTTTCAAAGGCACCAGAAGAAAATCTGAGTAGATCCCAGGCTGGGGAAGGAGACACTCTATTCACTTCTAACTCACAGACAGTGGCAGAATTCCTCCAAGATTTATGTTCTGGGATAGTCTGGGAGCTTGTTAAAAAAGCAGATTTGTTAATCACTTTTCCAGAGGCTCTGAGTACAAAATCTGTGATGGCCCCTGATGTTTTATTTATGTATTTTTTTATTTGCAGTGCTAGGGATTGAACTGAGAGACACTCTGCCCTGAGCTACACCGCCAGCCCTTTTCTATATTTGTAGACATTCTCAATAAGTGGCCCATCTGGCCTTGAACTTGGGATCCTCTTGCCTCAGCCTCGCAAGTAGATTGGATCACAGACACACATAACTATGCCTGGTGTTCATTTTATTCTTAATGAAAAATTTTAAAAGCGAAGAGGTTAGTATAATGAACCCCCATGTACTATACCCTGCTTTAATAATTTTAAACTCATCCCTAATCCTGTTTCACCCATATCTGTTTTGTCCTCTTACCCTATTATTCTGAAACAAATTCCACGCTTCATTTTTTTCTGTAAACACTTCAGTATTTATCTTTAAAAGCCAACACTTTTAAAAACCATACAAGTCTTTCGCATTACAAAGCAAGAAAAAAATTATATTTATCTGTAGATGACAAGATATTATATATAGAAAATATCAAAATACACATGCATTACTATTAGACCTAATTAATAAGTTTAGTAAAGTAGGATATAAGAGCAATAAACAAACATCAATGTATATCTATAGACGAGCACTGTATAACCTGAAAATTAAGATAATGAAAATCTATTTCCAAAAATATTAAAAAGAATAAAATGCTTATGAATAAATTTAAACAAGAAACATAAGACTTGTACTTTGAAAACTACAAAACATTGCTTAAAGAAACTAAAGTGAACCTAAGTAAATAGAAATATATATGCATGCTCATGAACTGGACAATTTAATAACACAATGAAAATAGACATAAAATAGATCTACAAATTCCATGCAACTGTATCAAAATTCTTGATCTAATTTTTACAGAAGTGGATAAGCTGACTCTAAAGTTCTATGCAATTTCAAGTGACCAGAATAGCTAAAACAATTTTGAAGGAAAAAAATTGAATTCTTAGTGTTAAAAAAACATACTCAGGGCTGGAGATTTAGCTCAGTGGTGCTGTCACCTGCCTCACAAGAGCAAGGTCCTGAGTTCAATCCGTGGTACAAAAAACAAAACAAAACAAAGAAGACCTCTAAGAAAATGGTAATCAAAATTGTGTGATACTGGCATAAAGAATGAAATCAATACACTTAGCAGTCCATAAATAAACCCACACATCTATAGTTAACTTATGTTCAAAAAGGGTGCCCACCATCTAATGGGGAAGGGTATTCATTAAATGCTACTGACACAATGAGACAGTCACATGGAAAAGTATGAAGTTAGTTGCCTATCTTACATCATATACAAAAAAAAAAAGCTCAAAATAGATCAATGACCTAAATCTAAGAGGTATTTTCTCTCTTAGGAGAAAATAAGGCAATAGTTACTACCTTAGATTAGGTAACATTTCTTAGATATGATGGTAAAAGCATAAGAGGGAGTGGAAAAGAGTAGATAAATTGGTCTTTGTAACAATTAAAAGGTTTTGTACCTCAAAAGACAGTATCGAGAAAGGGAAAAGACAAAACACAGAATGCAAAAAAATCATAATCACATATCTAATGAGGAATAGTATGTAGAATATGTAAGAAAACTTACAACTCAGTAATAAAAAGACAAATATTCCTATTAAAAGGAGTAAAGTATCTCAATGGACATGTCTCTAAATATATATATGGAAAGAGGGTCAATGTCATTAATCATTAGGAAAATGAATAGCAAAAACATAATAAGATACCACTCCCCACTCACTAAGAGGACTATCATTAAAAAAATAATAATAACAAAGGTTGACTCAGATGTGGAGAGCCTGAATCCCTTAAGGATTGTTGATAGAATGTAAAATGGTATGGCTCCTTGGAAAATAGTTGACAGCTCCTCAAAAATTAAACATAAATTGTTTTAGTCTCTTTTCTTATTGCTGAGGCAAAAGTCCCCACACCCAAGACTTAGGAAGGAGAAGTTTGTTTTGGCTCACAGTTTGTAGAAGTTTCATTCCATACTCTGCTGTCTCCAAGGCAGCGTGACAGAGCAGAGGGGGATGGCAGAGAAAAAGCACTTTTATGGCATGGTAACAGGAAATAGAGAGAGAATGAAGGGAGG